AATTTTCATCCTTACAACTGCTTTGCTTTCCTTAGGTTTATACACTATTATTATGGCTTCTATAAAATAATGAATTATCTTTGCTGATAATAAATCTTTGCTGATAAAATTTCTTCTGTCCATGCTGTCCAGTCAAAATGTTTATCAAATTTTGTATAGTAAATTTTTTACTTTAGTAGTAATTCTTTTCTTATTCGTAGGCCGCAAAAATAGTGACTTTTTATGTTAATTGAGTTCAGTTTATTTATAAGTTTATATTCTTTTTCTTGTAATTTGCTGTTATGTCCAACACATCAACATTCATTTCTCTTAATTCCTACTAATATTCCTGTGCTATACTTTTCCGGTTCCTGTTTTTCAACATTATAAATGGTTTCATTCAGTTCAGTTCTATTGTTTTCTATTTTCGAGAATGTATTTGTCTGCCACATTTAATCTTAATTCACTTAATTTTGTTGGACCGTGTTTCTGCATTTCTATCAATTCTTTAGTACAGTTTTTTCCATCTCTACACTTAATGATACTTATTAATTTGTGAAACATTATTAAATATTTACTAGGTTTTCTCTTCTGATTCTCTGGGTTTAACTTAAGGTCGTTTTATTGGGGGTTTAACTTAGGTGTTTGCTTAAATTAGTTACAATTATCATCGTTTTACCTGACCTTCCACACCATTTAGTGTTTAGTCCATTATTTCTTGTCTTACTCCATTTTTGCTGTAGGTAGATGAATTTGTCAAATTTCACATTCTCATTTTGGCGTTTTTCAAATGTGTATTAAAACTGTTTATCACTACATTTCTCTTCCTACTTTGCTTTTAATTTTTTCTGCTCTCGAATTTGTAATTGTCTTCTTCGTGTAGAAGATGGAATTTAACTTCAAAAAAAGTGGTTGTAATGGAAGCAAATCATTCTAAAATATACGTCGTAAACGTTTACAATAGTATTCCTATGAAATTTGATTATTTCGACTTTAGAAACAGATATTTAGAAACAGAATATTTTAATGTTAAGCCAACCAGGCACTTTTACGCCTTTAAATTGAAAACATGTGTTCATTTTTCTGTGAAGCTTCAACTAATTCCCATATATGGTGGGTGCAATTCCGACTTTCTTCAGTTGATTAAATACACTCAGATTCAGATACTTGTGTCTTTTTAAAAAACCTTTAAAAACTGGATTGCAGTCACATTTATTGCTTTGTTTATTTCAGTGTCACTTACATTCTCCTTAATAGAAACAGCAAATGATTATAATAAAACCGTTGTAATTTCCCCATCGTCATCTTATTAACACAATTTGGCGTTCTCTGGCAAAGATTTCCAACGTCTTGAAATATCATCTGGGCACCACTTCACGTCATTCGCAATGCTTCCGCTCAGTATTCATGGTGGAGGGTCGAAAAGATGTGAAAAGGGCTGGAACGAAGCTGATGCAATCATATCAGAATCGCTCCGAATGTGATCGAGGCAGAAACACACACAATACGATCGCGAAATTAAACTTAAATGGTTTCGAGGAATCGAACGACTACAACGGATAATCAGCATAAATGTTTATTTAGTTTTTCCTTATTGCAGGAATGACTTGGACGATCCACCACTCAAGACAGGAGCAAGCGAACAGGCAGACGACATCAGCATTGAAAGTTTGCCTGAATATCAACGACCTCCACCAAGGAAAATTGACCAGTAGGTTTTAAACCAGTTCACTCTACTTCAATTATATTAAAAATACCTCATTGCAACAGGTTAATCCTACTATTTCTAGTGATTAATATCCCAAAAACTTAACTTATCTTAAACATTGCATTGCTATGCACAATGTGGAATTTAGTGTTTGATTTATCAACTGATCTGTTCAAACCGGAGCTTTTCAAGCTCACAGGGCTTCATCCTAACCTTTTCATGTTCTCGTATTGCAGCAGAACTAGATGGCTTAGACGCTAATGAGAGAACAAACGACATTTTACAAAACCTTTAGTTCATAATTGATGAGTTATTTTTATTTGAGCGGAAACATACAGGGTGATTCAAAATTGCCGTCATTCCTCTAGAGGGGTTGTCTGGCGGCGTTTTAGGAGTGCACAAAAATTAGTAAAAAAATTAATTGTTATTAAAAACTGAGAAATTTGCAAAAAACGATCTTAGAAAAACGGCAAAAATGTTTTTCAAGCTAATCTGCCTAATTAGCATTACATAAATACTTGTTGGATCGTAATTATTTAAAACTCCGGTAACCATGGATAAATAGAGAGTGACAATAAGATAGACAAGGATAAATGGTAAATTCAACAGGAATCATTTAATGACGGAACTTATTTCGAAACTCATAACCTCGAATTATTAATTTGTTTACAAATTACAAAACATTTATTTGAGTCTGTAACTCCAAACAAGTGCTTGTATAATCAAAGTATTATGCACTCTTCTCGAGCAGTTTCTTGTGTTCGGTTAATTAACTCCTGCTCAATTTATACCGGTGTTCAGTAATCCATTGGTTTAATGTGATCTTACATACGTGGTAGGAATGTAGCCGGTATTTATTTGGTGCCTGGGAAAGTGCCAGTTGTTGTGCAATGTTCTGTGTGTCCCTGAAAGGCTCTTCTGCAATTATGTCCAATAATTGTTCCTCTGTGTCTGGAACCCGAACATCTATTGTCGTCCACTATCTTTCTTGAACCACTCTCCTCGCCCTTTGTCAGCGTGAGTTCTTTCAGCTTCTGCTATGTTACTGTAGCACTTCTTCTGAACTAATCGCATATCCGCAAATTCGTAAAAGGAAATTAAAAGTAAGTCACAGTTTGACAAATTATTGTTATTATTGACAAGGGCTATCCACCTGTAACTATCTGTTAATGACAAAAAAACACGATTGCCGCTGTGACTTTTCATCAAGAAATTGTAGAAGAGAACTTTTTTATATCAAAAATCTTTGTAATTTGAAGCAAAGATCGTAAATTTTGTTTTTGAATGCTTAAGTATTCCAATATGCTTCCAATTAAACATGGAATACTTTCAAAATAATGCTTACTAACAAAGTTGAAATTCGATAATCAACTGTTAATACCTTCTAGAAATTATCGAAAAAAAATTCGACATTTTTCTCGTACCTTCCAAGTGAGCCCCTATTACCCCTATTACCTTCTACCCTGTTAACATTGAAAACACACCAATTTTTAGCTACTGTTTAAGTTTTAATACGAAATATTACCAAAAAGAACAGAAAACGTAGTAGTTTGTAGACTTAAACGTTTCTGTTGTCATAACATTTTGAGCTGAAAAACTGCCTCCAATTTGGCAAAACCCTTTTAAAAAATTACATCTATGTAGGTATATGTATAGGAAAAAAAATGGTTTACTTGTTTTATTCATTTCATTGCATTTGCAAGACTCTTAATCTTCATCACCAACTGTTTATTTCAGATACATCAATGCATCAATTCCTCATCTATCCAGAAGAGCCACAGTGTCTCTGTTATGTTGTTTAGGGTTTATCATTATGTTTGGCATGAGGGAGACCATGGGAATGGTAAACTCGGAAATCGAGGACAAAGACGTACGATTGGCTGCAGATGATCCAGTCTGTTTTGTACAGGATGTGTAATGATTTCAGAGAAACAGCACCAACAGAACCACAATGTCCCGATCCACGATCAGTGCCATCGAATCGGCCATATTTTGGGGCTATTTTATCACCCAGATACCGGGTGGACTGATTGCGGCAGCCTATCCAGCCAACAAACTTTTTGGGGCTGCGATCGGCTCGTCCTGCATCCTCAATCTTTTTGTGCCTGTTCTCTATGACAATCCAACGGGACTGATTATTGTTAAAGTGCTTCAGGGCTTGGTTGAAGTGAGTTAATCAGACACAAATAAACTGATTCAGGTGGAGGATAACGGATATTTTTTCACAGGGTGTAACATATCCGGCGTGTCATGGTATTATGCGATATTGGGCGCCACCTTTGGAGCGATCCAGATTGGCAACCATTGCATTCAGCGGGTGTTATGCAGGTAAACCAAAATTTTTTGTATCTCAGGCGAAGACTTGAGTACTTTACTTTTCAAGCAAAAATTTATTTTTTTTTGTTTTTTTGCGCATACATACAGAGTGGTGCAACCAAGACGAGGTGGAAGGTTACTGCTAACTGGAGTGTAATTTTGGAATAATTTTTTTATTATTTATTTAAACTTAAAAGCCAATTGAATTTTGGGTTTTGGAGGTTGAAATCAAAATGAAAAACGTGAAAACTAGCCGAAAATAAACGTTTCATTATTCCACAATTTTTTTTTAAATACTTCTAGTACAAGAAAGATTCCTAAAGCTTCAAAGTCTATATTTTCCAAATATATGACATGAAGGTTCAAGTGACTCCCAAGTGCCATAATTTGCAAATGTTAAGCAGATTCACAAACCAAATTAAATTGTTATATGGTTTCGACCTTAGAACAAATACGTAACATCAAAAAACCGTTATTGACAATCAAAAATTGAATATTTCTTTAGGTAAAGTTTATTCCAGTTATTATTTTCTTGAGAATTACCAGTACTTGAACAACTAGGACACATTGATACAGGGTGTTCTATTCAAAAAACCTCGTCCATCCCATCTCGGTAGCATCACCCAGCAAAAGTGTTCATAAAACCACATCTTTTTTAGGTGTGATGTTTTCCATGATGGTTTGCGGAATTCTGATGAAAAACATCAGCTTGTTTGCACCATTTTACTTCTACTCAGTCATAGGCGTTGTATGGTACATTTGCTGGTTGTGGTTGGTTTTCGAAAAACCATCACTTCATACCTGCATCGAGCCCAAGGAGCTGATTATGATTGAAAAGTCGTTAGGTAAGTCTTATATTTATGAAACTTTATTGTTTTTACCTTTTCTTGGTGAGTGACAAAGGTCTCGAATTTTCTCAAGGAAAATGTGTGAAATGTGATACACTAGAGGGGGCTTCGAAACGAAAGTAATCGTTAAAAGAAGTTGTAAATTTAAACTTCTAGGAAACTTTCGGTTTTGAAGGCGCGATAACTAACGTTCACTCTTCGCCTTTCATAGGTAGCAGCCAGCAACACTATACGAACCCTACGCTTAGCAGTACGCCGTGGAAAGCATTCTTCACTTCTCTTCCTTGTTACGCCATCTTTGTGGCAAACTTCTGCCGATCCTGGAACTTCTACCTCCTGGTGCTGTTCCAGGCCTCATACTTTAAAGAAGCATTTGGAACGACCACTGCCGAGGTACTTTGGCAAACTTGATCGGGCGTGGATGCCGATGTAAAATCTATATTGTTCGTTTCAGAACGCCTCTCTAGGAGCTCTGCCGCACTTCTTAATGACGCTGGTGGTACCTGCAGGTGGAATTATGGCCGATCGGCTCAGGAAGAAGGGCATTTTGAATACAACGCAAGTGCGGAAACTTTTCAACTGTGGCGGGTTTGGCTTGGAAGCTACGTTCTTTATTGCCATGGCCTATTCTCATACCACTTTGCAAGGGATGACTGCACTAACAATAGGTAACTATTACTTATACCATTTAATTCCATCTACTCATAGGGATAGAGTAAGGCTTGTTGGTATTTAAGGAAAAACTTATACTTTTTAGTACTAAACTCAGTGTATTATCTGAAGGTGTCTATACAGTGAGTCTAAGAAGTAATGTAAATTCATTAGAAATTTGGCAGACTATTATTAAACGAGGGTAGTTCAAAAATAAGTCACGACCATCAATATACAGGGTGGTTTTTTTGTGCGAGCGAGTCGAATATTTCCGTTGGTGTTGAACTTTCGAAAAATAGTTTCATATAAAAGTTGTTGACGTACAAAGTGCCCACATTCAAAAAATATTTTATATGATACAGAGTGTCTCAAAAAAGTCAGGCAATTTTAAAGTGTATTTTTTAAATAGAACAACTCATTTTTTATTAGCTCATGGAATGCAGCTTAAAACGCTGCATATGCACCGTAAATTGTCTTTCTCCTACTTGCGACGTTGGCAGATTATCTCCATTTTAGTAAAATATTGCTTAAAAACATGGTATCTAAAAATTAAATGTAGAAGCAAAAAAAAGCAGTTAAAGATACAAAAAATTACGTACTTTCAATCACCACAGATCCGTTTAAAACTCTATTGAACCAAAATATCAATACAATGTACAATATTGTACAGGGTGTTAACAATGTGGACTTCAAAAATTAAACCTTGCCCTTATACGTGAAAAACAATATCATTTAAATGTCCTCCACGGGACCTCCTACAGGCTTCAATCCTTTTGAGGTCATTTTGAATGACTTTTCGAAACATTACCGATAAGATCTCGGTCATAAGTTTAAGGATTTGGGCTTTCAGTTGCTCAAGAGTTTCAGGATTGTTGGTGTAAACACGATCTTTCGCATAGCCCCACAAAAAGAAATCTGACGGTGTTAAGTCGCAGGATCTTGCGGGCCAATTGACATCATTCAATCTCGAAATTACGCGTCCTGGAAATTTTTATTGCATTAGGGTTATTGCATAACTGCCAGTGTTGTGTGACTCGTTGCCCCATCCTGTGGGAACCACATATCTTCCAGATCATAATCTTCAATTTCTCTCCAAAAATAATCGGTTAAAATGCGTCCATAGCGCTAAGAATTGACTGTTATATACAAAAAATACGGACCATTAATACCACCGGACCATAATGCACGCTATACGGTCACTTTTTCAGGATGCACAGGCTTTTCTGCGATCACCTGAGGATTTTGAGAGCCCCATATACGACTGTTCTGTTTATTCACTTAACCACCGAGCGAAGAATGAGCCTCATCGCTGAAGGAAACACGGTTCGAAAAATCATCATCAACGGCTTGTTGTTCAATAACCCAATTTGCGTATGTTCTGCGTGTTCCATGGTCTTGAGGCTTAAGATCGTGAGTCAGTTGGGACTTTGTACGGATGGAGCTTCAAATCCAATTGCAAAATTCGCCACAAAGAGCCGTAGTCGACGAATTCGGGTCTTCCTCTGCACTTTGAGCAACAACAGCGACATTTTCAGCTGAACGAATGTTGTGATCATGCACAGGCCTTACAATATCAGTAAGCGAACCAGTCTCTTCAAATTTTTCCACTGTATTCGAAATTGTTTGCTCTGTGGGTCGATTATGTCGACCGTAATCTGCTCGTAAAGCCCTAAACGTTGATACAGCAGAATCACGATTTTTATAATAATATTTAATCATTTTTACGTTTCGACAGTTAAACGATCCATATTCCAAAATGGCCTTCAACCTTCAACTAACACAAAAACGCTTCTTATGACTTCTACCTTTGACAGATATCAAATAGTAAGGTTTTACTTTTCCAACCTCGAATTGGATAACCCGTTATGAGTATTGGGTATTGCATCTTTAAAATTTATCGGTATGAGCATCTTTCCAAGCTGCCTTCAATGAATACCTACAGTATTTTTAGATGAGATATTTCTTATTTTGTCAAAGTTTACTGGCAAATAATAATTTCATTCTTGAATCGAACGATTAGACTTTGAAATTTCGAATATTCTTTTTACACCACCTTTTCTATAAATTCTGAACTACAGGTGTTGCATTCAGCGGATTTGCTATATCCGGATTCAACGTGAACCATTTGGATATAGCGCCCAGATATGCGAGCATCCTCATGGGTCTTTCGAATGGAATCGGTACCGTGGCCGGCGCAATTGTGCCCATAATCAAAAATTCGGTGGTCGTAAATGGGGTAAGTTGCACACGATTCCCGATCGAATTTTATTGAAGTGTCACTGTAATCCGGCTGAAAAGGAGCCCCCTAATAAAGTGGTTCAAGTTCTGCACGAACGCCTTCCTGCAATGAACAATGGCGTCGATGTCGCAGGCCGACAACCGGCAAACGACGTTCGCATACTGAGAGTTCATTTTTGCGGACTCACTGGACCGAACGAAATGGAAAATGAAATATGGGCCTTTTGCATTTTGGATGGGGGCATTTTTACGCTTTCCGTTGATATTCTTGCATTGTTTCTAGACCAAGGAGCAGTGGCGCATCCTGATCATTCTGTCCGCGTTCATTCACTATGCAGGAATCATTTTCTATGGCATTTTTGCTTCCGGCGAACTTCAACCGTGGGCCGACCCAACAGCCGAAGAGGAGAAACAGTGGAATCAAATGAACGAAACAGTTCCAGTTAACAAGTATACTGTAAGTTCAGGAAACATACCGTACGTACAGAAGTATGAAAATCATTTTGGGACAAAAGTTCCTTAGAACTTGTGGTTAATTAGTGACCGTGAAGATAATCAGTAAAAGACGCCTATTTACGTTTGTGGGTTTTTCGGTCAATGTCAATGATTTTTCATAAGACCATGGAAAAATAGTGTTTTATTGTTACCACCATCTATTGACCGAAAAACCCACAAACCTAAATAGGCGTCTTTTACTGGTTCCTTAGAACATTGGGTGCGTTCACCGGACATCAGCAGCTGAGTTTCAGCGTTAAGCAGTTGAGTCAAGTGATGGTTAGCAGTTGGCAATTCGGGTGAACGCATCGATGAGTTACAGCGTTGATATTGAATTGATTCAACCTGTGATTAAAACCACAGATAACAGTCTTTGTAACCTTTGTAATCTGAGCTTGAAACATATGATCGCTAACGTATATTTGAGTTTGAGATATAGAAGACCGACAGATAAATTAAATTACTACTGGGCTAAAAGTTACGATGGAGCCCTAACTACAATTTAAACTAAAATGCTATCATTTCAAAAATGTCGTGGCAGGTAACTAAACATGGAATAAGGTAATAAAACATTGAAATCAATTTTTTGGAGAAACGTCCTTGTTAAGGTTCTAGTTTTTCTTTTTGAATTATATTGCTTTCTTCAATACCTTGTCTAATTTTTTTCATCTTAAGCAATTTTTCCTACTCAATTACTAGCTGCCTCTAAATTTGTCGAGGCGATTGGCTTGAGCTGTTTTGCAATCTGAACAAGTAGGTGTATCTTTCAGCTCAGACAAACTTGTAGTTGTTGGTAAGCACGATATTGGGGTTGAACAATTCAATATTGTGCTCACTATGTTACCATTATGATCAGAGCTGATGTTTGTGGATAATTCTGATGTAGTTGAGGGCATTATCGACGATGATAAAATAGTTTTTGGCAGGTTTACAGTTTTATCATCTTGAAACATGTCTGCAAAATTTGCACAGCTGTTAGTTGCCAGCAGAGCTTGTTTTTAAGTTCAATGGTCAAATATTGCCCTTCTGCGCCTGTCAAGCGCTTATTGGGTTTGGAAAGCTCAAGTTAATTCCGCTTAGAGAAATACTCAGCTGCTGACATCAAGCGCCTACTCAGCGCGTCGCCTGGACGCTACCGCTTACTTAACGTGTGCGCCTTGCACAAGAATGTAATGCTTTATGAATTTTTTCTCTAAGATTGCGCGTGGTTTTCCTATTTCTGGTGACAGGGCAATATTTTTACTGCTTGCTTTTGGCAGGAGTATTCATCTGTATCTCGTGCTGCTGCTGCTCAGTTTTTACCAATATTTGACGTCTGCGATATTAAAAAATACGAGCAATGGATTTTGTCTATAATATTGTGGCTAGCTGATCAATTTCACGGGCAAATTTGCCAATGGAATCTGAAGCTTCGTTTTAGATGGACAACATCTTCAGCTGGAAGTATTCAGTGGCGGAGCTAGCTTGAAGCTGGATTTATAAACTCTGCAGTTGGTACCGTTCGCCGATCGTGCACTTGCCATACCGTTCTTGTTGCTGTTGTATGCATAACTCGTGTTTTGATTATTTATATTAAATAGTTCGCAGGTGGCGACGTTGGAATTCGATTGGTCAGATTGAGAAATCTGTCAACCGTATTCCCTTATGATTTAATACATTGGTTATGTTGTTTGTTATGTTTATCCACTTACACACTCTAGTTATTACTTTTTTCCATTTTAATATCAAAATGTGGAGACGCAGGCTACTGGGTTTTACGTTCATTTTCAGTTCTTATTTACTATTGAAGAAAAAGCGTCGGACACAGCGGTTGAAAGTCAGGCCTATCAATAGGAAAAGGTCAAAATAGGGGCACCCTCAGTATAATGAGAAAATGAAAAGTATGGATACAGTTGTAAATATATTCATAATTCTGAATTCGTTCTATTAGCAAGCTGCTAAAGTCTGGATCTTCAGCAAAAATAACTTTCTCTGCCATTTGCCATCTTGCCAAAACATAAACAAAACATGTCCTCGTTTTGACAAATGTCACGGTCAGTCTCTCACGTGATATGAAACTCTTTCTGTCATTGGTTGATTCGCCAACTAAATGAACTCAGCCGTCGGCGAAATAAAATTTGGTTAATTGCCGACGTCATGGAAAACTAATGGAAACGAGTGACGAATTGCGCAAGTGCCGACTACGAACGATGAACGACACCAACTGCAGAGTTTATAAATCCAGCTGAACTCAGACCCGGGGCGCAACACCCCCATTCTAAAACCATTTAATATAATAAAGTTTTATGCTCATGTTAGACTTTAATTTTGAGACAAAAAATGTAGTTCAGAAAACAACGTTTTTACAATTTTTTACAAGGCCGTTGTCAACATTATCCTTGTTTAATATATTTTCTCCAAACCAAAATTTCCGCAAGATCTGAACGAGGCAAACCTGACGGTGGCAAATACCACGATAGAGAATGTGTCGACATATAAATATCTAGGAACTTGGATGGAACAAACGGGTGACCAAACAAGAGAAGTAAGAACGAGGATAGAGATAGGCACATCAACATTTGTAAATATAAAGAAGTTGTTTACGAATTGAGTAAAAAAAAGAAAGCTTCAACACCTGGGTCATATAATGAGAGGACAGAAAAATACACAGTTCTCCAATTGATAGTCCCCGGAAAGATTAGTGGAAGGCGGAGCATTGGCAGACGCCGTGTTTCCTGGCTTAAGAACCTGGACTCGTTTAACTGTAGCAATGTTCAACAGTTCAGAGTTGCAGTCAATAAGGTCAGGATTGCTGTGATGATAGCAAAACTCCGATAGGATGCACTATAAGAAGAAGAATACATTTTCAGCGTCTAGTAGAAATCCAAATTTGAAATTATGGTCAGTTAATCGTGTAAATTCTGTCTCCCTCTATCCTTTCTTGTTGGAGGCGATCAAGAAAGTTTTACATAACGCGACAAATTTTACATTCTGCGGAACCATCATCTCTAGCCAATTCAATGAGTGTGTTTGGCATCTCCGTCTAAAATATTGTGGAAAAGAACCAAGATGCGTGAAATGTGAGGGCAAACATCACACAAAGAACTGCAAGAAACCTAGTAATACACCGGCCAAATGCATACACTGTGGGGAGGTGCATCCTACGAGCTACAGGGGATGCACCACAGCCATGACGCTACAAGAGTTACGAAACAAAGCTAACAATAAGAAGTTACCAGATAGACAATATTCAGAAGCTAGCAACAATAGAAAAAATGGACAAAGACAAGTAGAAGACTATATAGCATTATATATTATTATATAGCACTGATTCAATAACAGTAATGCTACAAAAAATTATGACACGGATGGAACAGCAGGAAAAAAACAAGAAGATTTTAATAAATCTATAGTTGATAGACTACCCCAATTGGAAAACTTGCAAAGCGGTCGATCAAACCGTGATGGTGAGTGATTTGCGAATACTTGAGTGGAATGCAAATGGACTTCTGCAACACCAGCAGGAGTTGCAAGTTACATTAGAAACCCATAAGTTGCTAATGATTCAAAATCTTGGAATGTTTCTCTAAAATTAATTCTAGGATCTAGTAATCTGAGATGCACACGATCAATTCCCTTTAAGATTTCATACCGGAAATGAACTAAAGTTATGAAACTAAATATATATACATATATAATAAAGTCCGCTTATAATGAACCCGGTTATAGTCAACTTTCGGTTAAAACGAACTTTTTTCGTTTAATTGAAACGTCGTCCATAAAGACCAACGTATTTTTTACTGGTTACAACGAACCCGTTTATAACGAACTTCCGAATATAACGATCACTTTTTAGGTTAGTTATATATTCACTTTCCGTTTATAACGAACTTCCACGCTCAGCAACACCAATCGTGCGGAGTTGTTTATATCAGTGAGACCGAGAGACAGGCAGTGACTTGTTGTTTTTTGCCGCGTTATGTATTTAAATCGTTTTAAAATAGAAAAACAAAAACGCAAAGCTTTTTCACTAAATGAAAAGTACGAGATTATTAACAAAATAAAAAGTGGAGTAAAGCAGAGTGACATTTGTAAGGAATTAGCACTTGGAAAGTCTACTGTTGCAATAATATGGAAAAACAAAGAAAACATTTTATCAGCGTATGACAAAAGAAATGTTAGATGTAGGAAGTTAAAATTATCTGCACATGAAAAGGTTGACAAGGGACTTATTAAGTGGTTTACTAGAAAAAAACAAGAAAACATTCCCACAAGTGGCAGTGTTTTGCAAGAAAATGCTAGTGAAATGGGGAGTAAAATCAAAAACAAAGAATTTGCTTGTTCTAAAAGTTAGGAAGAGCGTTTCAAGAAGAGGCATAATATCAGTAGCGGAAAAATTGTTGGAGAGTCTGCCAGTGAAAAATTCTTCTTATGAAAACGTCTGAGGCGATCGATTAAAATTAAACCTTTTCTATAAATCTCTGAGATGCAGTCAATTTCATTCATAGAGCTTGGCAAAAAGTTAGCCGAAAAACCATCGCAAATTGCTTTAAGCACGGGGGATTTGTAAGAAAAGAAAATGATTATGAACCAGACGATGAAATTCAACTTAACGAATGGTTAGAAAAGTATAAAGACTCTGACTACGAGTATCACACAGGCGAAGATGTCCCAATGTTGTCGAAGAACAAGTTAAAACCAAATTGAGTGATTTGAATTTCTTCGAATATGTGAGCATTGATAATGGCATTCTTACAAGAGAAATGTTGACCGATGAGCAAATTATAGACTCCGTAACCTCATCTACAGCTTTAAGCGATAATGAGAAAGATGACGATTTAGGTGAAACGTATTCTACTGTAAACACTAATGCTGTTCCAACCATTTCTGAAATGACAAAAAAGTGTCAGAAACTCGGAATTTTCTACAATCACGCCAAGTTCCTAATCATATCTGGGAGTCCTTTTGTGATCTTGAAAACTGCATAAAAAACATTTATTTTTGCAGCAGAAATGTACAAACAAAAATTACAGACTTTATGAAGTAGATTTCAAATTGAATTTTGTTTATGTTTTTGTGTTTATTTTAGTCATACCTACTAACTTTTACTACTCTATGTAAAAATAACGAAATAAAATACACCACGTGTTTTTGTATTATTATTCGCTTATAGCGAACTCCGGATATAACGAACCAGCTTTAGTTCATTTTTCAAGTTCGTTATATCCGGACTCAACTGTATTTTTATAAATAATAATATAAACTGTATATTTTGCAACAGCAGCTTCACTTCTGGTCTCACATTTAGTGGTAATGTCCTCTGCTAATTTTTCTAATATTTCTCCTATATTCTTTAGCCCATCGACCATAACGCTAACCGCTTGTATGCTGGGGCTTCATCGTGTTTCAGATTCACGTTTGACAGTTTTTGTCAACGCATCTTTTAATAATTCCCATCGTAACGTTGAACGTGAGAAAAAGAGATAAATGTTTTCAATTATTCCAAAACACGTCACAACGATTGGATCTTGTTTAGCTGCAACTCCTAGTAGATTCAATGAAAGTTTATCACAATTTACAAATAATGCTTCATGATTTTTTCCATTATTCTTTGTTGAACTCCAGGTGGATGACCTGCCATCACGGCAGCATTATTGTCACATTGTGATCTGCAGTTTGTTTATGAAATTTCATCGCAATTTAATTTCTCTAAAATTGTATTTTCGATCGAGACTGCATCTTTAGCATGCATTTCAATAAAACTCGCTTAAAGTTTGATTTAGACTATTAGTGTGCCTTTTTGTCCTTTTTGTTTACGAATTAACATTTACTGCACACACTGGCACTAAAATATATTTTTAGAAATCAATTATAATAAAAATAAAAATTATCCAGCAATTTTTTGTTTTGCGGACCATTTGACGCCCCTTTTGTGGGTAGCGCCCGGGGCACGATGCCCCGCCTTGCCCACCCCTCGCTACGCCACTGGAAGTATTGGAGTTACTTCTGGATTTCAGAAATATTGCTAGTTAAATACACATTGTGTGATCACATTTTTTATAACGTTATTACCATTATTACCATGGCTAATTTAGTATTTTTCAGTCGCAGTCCAACGGACTGTTACAACGCCAACCTAGTGGAGGAGTTACAAATTACGGCAGTCACATGGAGACTGCGCTACCTCCAAGACCTTCTGCGGCTCCTCGTCAGATGCCACCAGACCCTCCAACCAGACCTCCTGCACCTCAAGTGTACCCTCAGGTAGGAGCCTTCATAAATAAAGCTAAAAAACTTTTTGCAGGCACTTCATAGCATTGTTACCGTTTTTCCTAGGCTTCTTTTAGACTTTTTGGACACATTATTCCATTCATATTCTAATCGCATGTTGGAAATCTTTGATCTTTTCAACATTCAAAAGTCGATTTTGACAAAAATATTCGGTCAGAATCGCGGATTCTTTTAATATTATGTCAAAAAGCGTGTTCAGTATTTTTATTAGTTAGTTAAGTTCTTAAGTGCAGCTGAAACAAGCGATTTTTTTATGAATTTAAAACGCAAAAAAATATTAAATTAAACAAAAGAGTAGTTTTATCTAGCCGAGTGAAAAAATATCAATTGAAACCTTCAAAGGCAAGGCAGCTCGGGTTTTACCAGAAAAAATGTTTAACTTTGCATATTTGCTTTTGAAAGTCGATAAACTAATAACTGTTTTTTTTTCAAACTTTCAACATCAGGAACAGTATCAATCCCAACAAGTGGTACCTTCAGCTAATCCTTTTATAAGCGGCGCAATATCCCGGAATCCTTTTAGACAGGAGGCTGTCCAGCCGGAACCTCAAGACGCCTACATGCATGGTACTATTGATGACCGAACTTATTAGTATTAAAAATGTTGAGATTCCTTTAGGGTAAAAACGATGTGGCTAAAATTCGTTTCGGTTCGCGGATATTATCTCCAAAAGTCTACTTTTAACTTACGGATAGTAACAGTCTTGAATCTCAAACGGGGATAGTTGATTGTTTGTATACTGAAGCCCTTAAATTTGTGTTGAGGCAAATTCAACTTAACTCGTTTCTAGCTGACTTCCTTAGCCTTTGAAACAGAAGCTTTTAGGAATATTTATTAGTTCAATAATGTAAAAATGCAATCAATTGAAGTCATTTGTTTGCTTGACTTGACGCAGTTTATGTTTAACATAACAAATCTAACATTTGGCTAATGAATAAGAACGTAAGCATAAATTATCAAATAAAATTAACGGTTTAGTGCAGCTAATAGAATCTGAGGTTTGTCCATTAAACAGGAAATATAATTACGTAAACGGAAGAAACGACAATAATAATATATTAAACTGATTTGAAACGCGAACAATAACTGAAATCGTGATTCTGCACTTGTTATTCCTTGCAATTCAAAAACATATAAATTTTAATAAGCACCAGATAAAAGCGCAAAAAAATTAAGTAACTATATAAAATAAGCAATGCACATTGAAAAAATATATGTAAAGAGTCAATTTCTCTTCGTTGTTGTACATGTAGGTAGTCTTAATTTTTAGATGCAAAGTTGCTCCCAGCTCTATAAATTCTCTAATTTTTGCACGACTTTCGCTGTTCAACGCTAAGAATCCCCGTAAAAATCCTGAGTTGTTGTTAGCCAAAGCACCTAGTTTAGAGTTAGGAATGTATTTTTGAACTTAGAGTTCTATAAAATAAAACTTCTAGTTAACTAAGTAATTCAATATTGTATCATAAGTTGCAACTGTTAGACAAGGCACTGTCTAAAGTATATTTATAGATAACGTTGTCAATTTGTACATAGAGGTAGCTACTGAAATAACCTTTACGAGGCACATAATTTCATGTATAAATAAAATTAAGATTAGCAGATATTGCCATACATAATGGATCCATTATAGGGTTAGATATTTGAACATTTTTCTTTCCAGTTATTGTTTAATGTATTCTTATTTTATTATTTTTATTTACATTTTTTGTCAGTCTTATTAATTATTACGTGATGAATTATAAAAAATTATAATAAAATATTCCAGAAAGTTCACTGTAAAGTTGGGCACAAAAGATGAGCAGGTAAACAAGATGATGTAGATTATTTCGGTATAAATCCAAGTTAGACTAAAAAAATTACGTCAGTTGAAGACAAACAAGCGAAGAGCCTCTGAGGATGCAAAGCACTCGCACTTGCGAAACGTCTGAAAGTAAGTTTTCCCCATCGCGGCCTAAAAGCCCAAAAAACTCTCCAGTTTCATGATAAACGGTGTTTAGCATATCAGCATGGACCACTTTCAGTAAACTTTCATAAGCGAAGCGTAGTTTAGCGAAATAATTTTAGTAAATAATAAAACTTTCTAAGGTGAAATGCCTTGAGGCTGTGTCGACAATAAGGGGTAAAACCCCAATCTAGTTATAAGCTATAATGTAAGCAAACCGTAATAATTGTAATATGTACTTAAAATAACTGTTCCATATCTACAAAGTGTGGGTGAATTTTTGTAGTTGGATGTTTACTGAAAATTCACCACAGTCTGTAGAGAAAATTATGTGTGCAAATAATAAATGTGATTTTAATCGATAGCTAGCTGATGATTAATAATAAGCAAGTGTTCGTTTGCTTATTAAAAATATTATTGGATTATTTATATATTGCTATTTTGAAAAACAGACTTATTGTAAATGCATTTTCAATTAAAACTGCTATTTGCTACATATTAGTAAAATCTAGGAGATGGTCTGGATATGATTTAAACATAAATATTACCTTGTGGCAGCAAATTGTTCCTACGGAGTAAATTCTCATTCACAACCTGCTGGCTAGAACTGTTTCGACCCGTAAGTTTAATGAAATCCTTTAAATAATCTTCAAGCATGTAAACTGTTTTCATCATGTAGCCTAAAAATATCCTACTAATGTTCCTTTCTGTTCTATTTGTTTTGAAACACGTTTTCAATTCTTTTAGTTTAAAATGTAAAATACGCCTAACTTTCCCCTATTAGAAGATTTATTTTTGAAATATTAATAAGCGTGTTTAAATCTAGATGTAGTGTAGCTGAAATAATTATGTAAAAAGCAAATAAAATCTTTAAATCTTGATATAATATTGATCATTGATGTTTATGGCATATCTCGATGTAAAAAGGGTTCTGAAGCGTTCGTACTCGCATATGAAAGCAGTCCATCAATTCGATATAAACTAGGGCAAAATCTACACTTTTACTCTTGAGTCAGGCCCTTAAATAGTCCCTCTTTAGCCCTGCTCATAATTCCGTAAACAATTATCAGCTATTCAGAGCCTTTTACTATACGCATATAAAATATCATGGCCTAGGTTTAAACGTATTTTTGCGTTATTAGTGTACCTGTTGAATTATTTATTAAAGTTTCGAAAATTCTATAATTCTGTGTACCTACATGTTGACTATATTGCATATAATCGTCGTGAAATAATACTTTTTGAACAATGTGAATCAATTGGAAATAAACGATGTTATTCAAAGGTTTTCATTGTTTTATATTCATCCAGAAATTCATAATGGAATTTTTAAAGCGGGTTTGAAAATTTTATTTATCTAAAAAGCGCATTAAATGTGTTATCGTTTTTGGATTTATGACTGGTAGTTATTTTGGCAAATTTTTCGCTGCTTTTATAGTAAGAAATATAATTTCACCAAATCTACTTGAAACATTCACATTTTTGTCGCCCGTTTTGTTTGAATAACTTGGCTTCCGAGCTTTTCACTTCCTTAAAAATAAACAGACAAAATGAGGCCATGAGAATGACAGTGTTCATTAGTTATTCACTAAAAACGAGGCATGGGTAACTCAGTTCACTTTCAGGAGTTGGCACAGTGTTCCCGAAATGGCTTCATGCGCCAACCCAACGCACCGGCACAGTAACTCACCGGTGCAGTTACGTCGCAGTCACTCATTTGGTAAAATGTTGCTCTTAAAAAATGTTGCAACTTTTCTTTTTGTTAGCTGTTGAAATTTCAGCCCCGGGCCTCGCAAAACTTTAATCCTTCCCTGGGATAAATGCTAAGCGTAAGTAAAAGTGCGGCACAGAAACGAAAAATACTCTTCAAGTTCAGAGTTGTGCGTTCAGTAAAGAATAGTGCGCCCTAAATGTCGTCACAATTTCTTCAAACCTTTAAAAATTTATTCAAATACCTTTAAATCCTGAACTTTATGCGCTTTGTAGATGTTGATGAAAATAAACGCTTTCACGCAACTGCATACTTTTCAATAAAACATTCTAAATTCCAAAGTAAAGCCAGTAGAAACTTGAAAAATTGATATTCTGTAGAAGATGTTTTTCTAAATGAAATTTTGGTGTTAAATTGCATCTATATCTTCAGTCGATTCCGCAATTAAAAAATACAAGGAAAACTAAAGCTTTAAACTTTAAACTGTTTTTTAACAAAAAAACATAAAACTGGAACCCATATTTGTATATCTGAAACGGTTCTTTGCATACGAGTTTCAGATGAGCTTGATGTAAAAATACGAAGCCGCCCAAAATATTCCCGAAGTTTAAACGTTTCTTGTAAAGAAATCAATGGTTTAATGAGAACCAAATCCATAATATGAATAAGCTGATGCTTCTTGTATTGAATACTGGAACTCAAAATTGCATATCTGAATTGGTTCTTTACTGAAAAGCTTCCGATGAGCTTGATGTAAAAAATACAAAGCGGCCCAAAATATTTCCAAAGGGGCAGAAAGACCGATTGGGTCGACAGTCTTTTTCTATAGGAAATAAAGATTATTTATATATATATTTCCAAAGTATCGAACTTATCGATGAAAGAATTAATAGCTGAAATCATGTCAAATCCATCGTACGAAACAGTTGAAGCATATGGGGCTAAAAGTTCTACTTCTACGTGTAACCAGGACAAAATAATGCTAAACTTACCAAAAGTTGCGTTGTGCCACCTGGAAAGAAAGATTAAAATGTGTTTAATACAGCAGGAAATCTGTCCAAAGCCAAACTTATTTGAAATCAGCAAAGTAAAGAAAGATACATATAAAGAATCCATAAAACTTCAGTTGCTTGCCGGAGAACTAAACTCAATTCAAGCTAAAAGATTTATAGATTAGAGACCATTCATAACAGCTTTTTGCAAGTTGGCGCCCCATCCTCCATTTTCTACCCATAAATCCTAACAAATTTGCTACACTTTCGCACACCATCGCACTTGCCATAAGGGCCACAATGATCCTATATTTCCGATCTAAGAACGAGATTCACACGACACAAAGAATTATCGACCGGTTTCGTCCACTTGCCATTAAAAAGAGAAGGCACCGAAGTACGGAAATAACATAAATATTTAATCAATCAATTCGCCCTTCCGATGATTCATTCCTTTACTTGGTAGCTCGACTTCAGCTTGTATATTTTTGACATTTTTATAAAAAGTGCCTGGATGCATTGCGACATTTCAAAAGACAAATTTCACGTCCCAACTTAACGAAAGTAAACAACAACTAAACGGAAAACGCTCCAAGCGCCGATCTTTCACTGATTTAATTTTAAATTTAGAGTTATTTATAATTGTCTGGATTGCATTCTGATGCAGTGATTAATGCACAACAACAAAACTAATATTAAGAACCGAGTTAATTTTGTTTTTATAAAAATATTGAACTATTTTAAGAACTAGAAGAGAAATGGCCAAAAAGTAAACCTTATGCAAAACAAGAAATAGAAATAAAATATATTGAGCTCAAACGAATGAACAAATTTCATGAAGCAATACAAATACTAAAACAACCAATTTTCAGGCCCATGATAAAATGCCAACAATACCAACAGAAATGATCAGGATTATACGATCAAGAAGCAAAAAAATAAAGGAGACCACAAGTTTTTTCAGAACTAAAAAATCGCTGTAATAGTATCGATTTCGAAAAATTGAGACAGACTACAATGTAATAATTGCACGGTGATTTTATTCATAAGTACGTATGTAAGAAAGGATAAAAATCTACAAAAATACACAAAGGAGACTCAGAAAGAGAATCTAACCATAACAATCGGAAAGCGGATTTAGTCAGGGAAATAAAAATACCACATTTTCTATTATAATAAATAATACAGAAATAACAGAGAGAGAAGTCAAGATATGCTTCATTAATTTAACTAACAAAAAATATAAATAAAACATCTACAAGAACAATTCATGAAAATAGTTTCACTACTTCTACCAACAAAACAATCTAAGAAAAGAAGAATAGAAATTTCAATGTAGAACATTTCAACTTCCTTTCATTTCCTTTCCTACCGAAGCTAGGAAAACATCGATTGCTTTATTTCCATCTGTTTTATTAACTTTGTGTACCGACTTCATGAAATTGGTCTCATGATAGAGCTTGAGTTTTCCTCGAAAGAAAACGTAGAGAATTGGAGCTGGTGACTAAAATGAAATAAGAAATTTTAGGTTACTTTTTAATTATTAAGCTGCAAACTTTCTTGAATCTGTTTCATACCATATTGTAGAATATTGTAAAAATCTGCAGAGTTTACGAAGTCGTGAAATTGAATCATGAAAACATAGATATAATTTTGTTCCGATCCATCATGATTCCGTATGAGTTTGGATTCTCAATATTTCGACTATTGAATTGAAAAATAATCTGGAAATCTTCATGCTTCTTCTAGTACACTTTTGTGTACTTTGTTCCTTTCTTAAATCGTTTTAAATTAGGAAAATACAACGAAGGACATTCTAAATTATATTTTCAATATATCAAAAGATTCTTTATGTTCTAGTAGTTTGCATAGATCTATCGCAAAAGCAAAGCACCCTAAAACTAGCAAAAAGCATGTAAGTAAGAGTCCCAGATGCAGATGATGATATAGAAAGAGTTTTAGTGCGTATAATTCAAGAATAAGGAAAAAAATCAGCAGTGACATCAACAAGCTGGTCCCACTAAAGCGAAAGCGTTCATCTACTACTTGGCGCTACACATATCGCGAGTGGTCATCAAAAGTGAACGCAAGTCGTCCGAACCACAAGAACCCATAGACATTTGATGCATTTGCAAGTTCCTTAATTCATGTGCCACCATCATGTAAGTCGGATGGAAGCTTTCACTTTTTATGTGATCGCTATCACGGACTGTTTATGGGAATAACCGACAACAATTTTTTGACCGTTTTTTTTTCAAAGTGCAGTGACAAAAAATGACAAAGTCTAGAGGCGGCTTTTGTATTGTGAAACGTGAAAGTGCTGTGTTTATTTGCTGTTATTTGGTTCTGATTAGCTTTTCTGGTACGTATTTCAACTAGCTGCGGAACGCTCGTGGTTTTTGTATTAACTCGTAGTAATTGTACATTTTTTCAACACTTTCATTGATTGTCTGTAAATTGATATCTCCATATTTACTGCTTTAATTTAAATAATACTAATTTTTTTGGGAAAGTGGTTTTTAATCTAAATATAGCCGACACACCCAGAATATGCTAATAATATATGACATCGTCTAAATTTTCTAAAGAAAGTAAATTATATAGGTTAATTGTGTTCCGATATATAGTTCGATTGCGCCTTCTATTACCGACGTCCAAATTAATTGACAACAATTCGCTCTTTACAAAATTTCCATTTGCTAATTGTGTGTTTCTTCAATAGATAAATTATAGAACTTTCTTACGCAAACAGTTGACCCCTTGAATTAGGAAATTCAAAGCCGGCAACATTCTGCAGAGAAACTAAATTAAACGATGAATACAAATATCGTAATAAACAATAAACACGCGACCGGTCAATAGAAAGTAAAATTGATGAATATGATCGGTCGGGCAAGAAAGTTGCGCGAGAAGGGTCAACGATTTTGCAACGATGAATGTGCAGCTCTGAAGAAGCGATTTATCAAAACACTTTCTTCTCAGTAACCTTCATGATGTAATTTCTTCACGTAACATCAAGCATGTTTGCGGTCAACGATGAAGATCTCACGTGCCATTTTTGAGCTCATTATCCATACGAGAAATATTTTCTTCTCAACTATGCACTTATTAGATCAGAGCAAGATCAATGGTCTATTGTTGTGTTTGATTTATAACCCGTTATGTTGCAATATAGTACATTTCCACATTAAGGCGAGGCCATTAGTACGGGTTGCAAATAAATTCAATTACAGGAATATACGGCCAGCAGGCAAATGATGGACAAATGAAGGAAGAACCGCAGTCAGTTCAGGATTTATTCAACACTTCTTCGTGCATTCCAAAGCCTTTTAGATGTCCGCACAAGCAAATCCAGTTTTTCCTCTACACCAGGTTGGTAGCCGAATTTGTATATTTTAAACTTTAAGATCGCGTTCTAAATATCAGTAAACATTCTAGGACAGTAAAATTGAGTGCAGGTAAAGGTTTGAATTGCGAAATAAAGCTCCGTATGTTCGCGATGTAATTAGTTATAAAATTGCCTCTGAACTTTTCAAGCTGTTAGGCAAGTTGGATTCTATTGTGAATAATACATTTTCAGTGTCACTATTATGGAAAACTAGCAAAAGTGAAAATTGTTCAAGGGGATACATACTGTATATATATAAAAGCGAGGAAGTGTAGGACAACTTATCTCATGACTCAATTGACGGTACAATCAAAGTTTGCTAGTACTTCCTGATGAGCTACGGCATATTTCCGAAACCTAGACCGAAAAATTTCCAACAGTAAAATATAAGAAAAAAATACCTTTAACATGTATAAGCTCAATAGTTCTCAGATGAGAAGTAAGGGAAGAAGAGTCTTCCCTTACAGCGTTGAAAACTAATTTACGTTTAAAGCGGTGTGAGATACGCACAAAAGAAAAAAAAACAGATCAGACAGTCTTTGGCCATAAAATCTATAATGGCCCGATACGCAACTTTCCAATTAGGAAACCATTCGGGTTTCTTCAAGGTTGCTGATCAAAATTATAGCTTTTAGACAGACTAATTCGATAATATAGATATCTATTTAGTAAGAATGCAGGTACTTCTGTATATTTTAAATTAAAGTCGACACCCAGTTGCAATTAAAACTAGTCAAAGTTTTCCTCATCAACATCGTTTACTCTACACATTCGCTTCTTGAGTTTTCCTACGATTAATTTAGGTTATAAACATGTTTACCACAAACTAAGGCGTCTAATTACATAATACATCGTCCTAGAGATTGTACCCGCATGTCTTAAATAGGTAGTTTAAAATATGTGCCGATCTTGAAACAATCCAGCGAGGACTTGGTTTCATATGTCTTATTCCCGACAACAGAGCACTGGAGGAATTTTAATTTGAATCCTTGGTTTAAATGCCAAAAAATCACAAAAAAACTGAACAAGGTTCACTGCTTTATCTGTCGCCAGGCGTACTCAACAGGAACCCGAACTGCTAGATACAACCAAAGAAGATTCCCTATACAATACGCAATTCAACCGACGGTACCCAGTGAAGATTGTCGTCCACGGATTTGGAGGAGGCAGAAACCTCTCGCCCAGCACTGACATGAGGGATGCGTACTTCTACCGGGGCAATTACAATGTTATCATTGTAGATTACGGGACATTGGTGAAAGAACCATGTCTTAGTGTAAGTAAAGCTTTTAACGACCTGGTCAGTAGGTAGTTATAAATTGCGCAAAGAGACGCCCCACTGCAAGCAATCGGATGTTACGCAAAGAGCATTAAAGGAAAATTGCATGTAATGGGCCAAACGTCATTATCGAAATGATCAGTTGGCGACTTCCGCAACAGTGTCCAAAAGTCTATCTCACATCCTTGGAAATTTGAGGCATTCGGATCAGGCCAAACGCTTTGAAATTATACCTTAGTAAAAACAACAAATTATGGTGATTGTTAATTCATAATTGTCTGTTCAAATCCTGCAGGTTAATATTTTATTATGAAAGTAAAAAGTCTATTTGCGGGTTTTCAAATGTAGCAATTCTTCACGTGGTGAATGTACTGATTCGTTAAATATCAGTTTCACGCTGCATCCGTTTTTTCTTCATTCAGGAAAGTCCGACAACCAAGCCCGGCATTCCGACCTTGCTAATGTTTTTTTCATGATCAGCCCACATTTTCATGCTAATTAATAGACTAGCAAATAGAGATTTAAATTATTTTTTCTGGTTTTATATCTTTCTGGTTATCTATCGATCGGTTGATAATAATTAACATCACATCATATTTTTTTCTTAAATTTTGATTATATTTTTCTTGAGGAAGTTTGTTTGTAATCCTGCATACGGGGTAATTCAAAATTAGCGTCATTCCTCTGGAGGTGTTGTCTGGCGCTGTTATAGGAGTACAGAAAAAATAGTAAAATAAATTAATTGTTATTAAAAACTGAGAAATTTGC